AAACTTATATTTACAAAGTACTAAAACTCTACAAAGTTGTATACTGTATAATGAAGCAAAGTTGTGTACTGTATAATGAAGCAAAGTTGTATACTGTATAATGAAGCAAAGTTGTATACTGTATAATGAAGCAAAGTTGTATACTGTATAATGAAGCAAAGTTGCATACTGTATAATGAAGCAAAGTTGTATATTGTATAATGAAACAAAGTTGTATATTGTATAATGAAAAAAGGATGTATATCGTATAACGAAACAAAGTTGTATATTGTATAATGAAAAAAGGATGTATATTATATAATGAAACAAGGTTGTATATCGTATAACGAAACAAAGTTGTATATTGTATAATGAAAAAAGGATGTATATTATATAATGAAACAAGGTTGTATATCGTATAACGAAACAAAGCCGTATATCGTATAACGAAACAAAGCCGTATATCGTATAACGAAACAAAGCCGTATATCGTATAATGAAACAAAGTCGTATATTGTATAATGAAACAAAGTCGTATATTGTATAATGAAACAAAGTCGTATATTGTATAATGAAACAAAGTCGTATATTGTATAATGAAACAAAGTCGTATATCGTATAATGAAACAAAGTTGTATATTGTATAATGAAACAAAGTTGTATATTGTATAATGAAACAAAGTTGTATATTGTATAATGAAACAATCTATATTTGCCTATTACACTATCGTTAAAGCAAACACTTCCAAGGCGTCTCAGTAGAACCACCGACCACTAACAGAAAAGTACGAAACTGAGTTAGTATAAAAACGCGCATTTTCTGGAATATATATTTTAACGAGAACGCAAGCGTATCATTGTGAAAGTTTACATAGCAAAGTCCGTTTCATACAGAGATAAGGCAAGATTTGTCAGCAAACGAAATTTCAGTAATATTTCTGTACATGCACACATGTCATAATAATTTGACTTTTTTTTATTTACGTAAGAGATAATACCAGGATAGGAATAGATTTTTCAGCCCATCAATATTATTCAATTTCGTTTCGGTTCAATTCTCTCTTAGACGACTACCTGCGGCACTTCATATTCCGCAACGTGTATGAAAAAGCTCGATGCCCTCATAAAGATCATCACTGGTTAAACAGATAAAATTTTGATAAACCGAAATTGAAGGAACGAGAGGGAAAATTAAAAAGTCCGATAAGGTCAGTACATGTTTCTCCTTGGACAGCTTTAAATAAACTTATCACTTCCGGAATATCAATCGGCTTTAAAATTAAATATCACTTCTGGTTGATCGTTTGTATATAAAATTTAATTTGTTTACAAACTTTACGGCGCAACTATTTACGGTGTAATTATAACCACTACCTATTTTAATTACTCTATTCTCCCATACAATGGATAATAACTAGAAGTCCTCATGTACATATAAATTCTCATAACTTGATTTGAAAATATCGCATCGATCCGTAGGGTATTCTCTGTTCAAATAGTAATTTGGATTCACACATCAGTAACTTAGCATTCACAAAATTTTTAAAAGCTGCATACCTTCAGATCAGATAAAATGCTAAATGTTGCCGTACACTTCTTATAGTCGGGATATTATTTAGATACACTACATTATTTCTTTAAAAATAGCACAGCGATAAAATTTGGTGGCAGTATCCTTTTATTTGAAAAGTGACTCAACACAAAAGTGAAACGAACACACTGAGGACTGAGTCAAAAGAAATGTAAGTATTTCATGAAGAGAATTAGTCTTCATAACGATTTTATCCTCGTGGCATTTAGCATAATTCCTAGAATACATTTCACCTTTTCTTGGGGGCTGGACATATATGTCCCACGCATTTACTATTTCAAATGTGTCTCAAAATTTTTTTAATAAACTGTACAGATTTAAAATTTACTCTTATACGGAATGGGAAGTGCAAGATCCTGACGATTTGTTTTTCTGCTCCTTCCTATTAAAATAGTTGACTAAATGACCCTAGTGTGTAAAACATTGGTACCTATAGCCCATGGGAAAAGCTCAATGCTTATAAATGTAGTATATTGTTCTCAAACACATGCTCGTTTTAAATATCAAATTTGAGAAGTTTTGAATTATCTCATATTCTTTTAGAAAGTCTCTTCAGGGTTTCAAGTAAAGCATCACTTCCATTTTACAAGTTTTAACAAAAATTAAATATGTTGTTCCCATTTGATATTAAGGGCCTAAATACTAAACTGAAAATACTTGTATTATATTTTAACTAAGATTTTCTTTAAAAACTGTTTTGAGCTTCCTGTTAAGTACCTCTTTCAGAAGTCCGGTTTTACCCAAAATTTAATCAACTGTTTACATGAATGTAGAAACCATAAATATGGAAAATCAAGGTTTCATATACGATTCATACAAAAAAAGTATTACGCATACACAGATACCATTGCAAAAATAGTAAAAACGTGTTGTGGCGATCCTAATTCGAGCTTGTTCACTATTAAATTTTTGTCCCGAAAACATTACCTCTTTTGCTTAAGTAGATAAATTCGAGGGGGTAAAAATTGTGAGTGCCCTTCTTTCACTTTCACTCGTCACGTCATGCGAGTTTCTTGGGCTCAAAGTACCGATAGTAGGCCCTTATGGATTTCAATTAAAGTTTCACTTCTGAGTGTCCAATTTTACCGAAAATCTAATCAATTCTTTATATGAATGCAGAATGTGGAAAACTGAAATTTCATATAAGAGTTATCGTGAATGAAAAAATCATCAATGAAAAAATCAGGCAGACATCATTTAAAAATAGTAAAAACATGTTGTGGGGACCCCAATTCGTGTTTACTCCCTGAAAACTCACTATCGAATTTTTGGACCGAAAATTTGAGTTAATGAGGCTTTCAGTAAAACGCACCATAAAAATATACGACTTTCTAACATAAATGTACCACTATTATTTTTAATTTTACAAATATAAACAAGTTTTCAAAAACAAAATCACAGGCTGTATTTGCACAAAAACTACATATTAACTAATGTGATGGCTGAGCTAGATGTTTTGATATTTTTTTTTTTTTAATATTTGGCATAAAATTGTTAGTTTTCTAAGAATTCTAAGAACGTTAAAAAAATATTAGACCGTTTCTTGTTTTTCGTAGTAAATTATTGGCTTGACTAAAGCCTGCTACAACTAACGAGAAAGATGAATAATGTAGGCTCGGTAACAACGTTTATTTTGGATATTTACCAGAGATAGTTTTGAAATTCCAAAACTTAGCGTATCCATTGATTTTGAATGAGACTTCTGCTCGAACATCCTCCTTCAATGCAGTCAAGTGACCTTGCATATCAAATCAGCTGTTCTATAAGCCATGATGGCACATTCAAATTTTCAGTATCTTGGCTGAGAACTTTAAAATCTTCTTTTAAATTTTGAAACTGATTTGTATATAACAATATCTCTTCTGACGAAGTTTTGGATTCTTCCAATTTTTTATAATGTATTTTCGCATTTTCCTACGTTTTTTATATTGCACTTACATTGCATAAAATATTTATGTATTAAAAAACATATATTATTGATTTTTAAAACGTTAAATTATTTTCATGTATTTCTTCCTCAAATATATTTTATGTGATTTCTTCCTTACTACATGATATAGCTTTATATTAATAAACAATTTTTATGAAATTTATTAACTTATTTTATTATTTTGATTTTGATTATGCCGATCAGCTGCTGGTGCATATTTAACTATCGACTTCTCCATCATCATTGACCCCTTATAAAATTTTACAGACCCACAGAGGCTCAATACCGACTCCTCTGACTTAATCAATTACTGTAAACCATGCAATAAATATCCGTTTAAGCACAGGAAGACTTTTAAGTAGCAGGTATTACACATTTAGGACTGTACTGAACTGGGTTTATATGGTTATGACAATGCATTTTAACTCTACCTACCTGAGCAATAGAATGGCACCGTGGAGGACTTTCAAAGGAAAACTGCCTCGTATTCCCATTACACATTAGGAAAACCAAGCAATCAGCTCATTTACCTCATGAAGAAGGATCGTAGTTCAGTAGTCTCAGCTATCTGGCCATTATTTGGCGGCAGTAGTGGTGCTTAACCCTGCTTATTCAGCCATTGCTGAGTCGTTTTATTTGTATATAAAACACAGATATTCTGCCACGATTTAAAAATATTTCTGACAGGTTATTTGGAAATTTAGAACACTCCAGTTCTTTTCTATATTTTAAATAAAATATACTTTTATAAGAAAGAAGAGCTTTGTTTACTATAGATTATTTTAGATAAGGGAGAGGAGAAGTCGAAAAGCACAGATTGCGAAAAATAAACAATTAATACGAATCCTCTTTTCATTCGCGTTTAATGGCAATAACGTTTTTAAAAAAATTGACATTTCTTTGGATTATGAGATTAAAAAAGACTGTTTCTTAAGAAGTCTCAACTGCATCCATAAATTTCGGTCGTCGTATGCAGAAAAACCTTTAATAACTTTTTTAATTATTAGTTAAAGCCTTAAATTTTTTTTTGCTATGTATTAAAAAAATTACAATTGTCATTTGAGCCAATATAAGAAAAAAATGGAATGTAAGAGTACCGTATCGCCTTAAATAGTTTGAAAACAATTTTTAATATTCCTTCTTTTCTAAACGGGAAATGAGTTGTAAACTAATTTTTATTATTTTATTTGAAAGAATATTATGTTTATTCTGGGTTTCACACTGAACAAAATTTTAAAAAAATATAAATATATTTCTTATGATCACGTGCTTTTCCGAAACAAATTACTTCAATGCTTTAGTGCAATCGAAGCGCTTTATTACGAGCACTCGTTATAGCGACCCGTACAAAAAGTCTCCAACTGAGTGTAGTATAGTAAATCAATTTTGATAACTATGATTTTTCTGTAGGACGCGAGACGTCGGTATAACGAGCTCGAAGTATTATATAAATCATTCAGTACGTTTATTATTAGAACTACATAGGAAAATGTTTATTACCTCAGATCTCGAGCAATAGTCCGGTACATAATCTTTGCTTGCTTGTCTCCACCGGCATGATAGAAAATAGCATAGGCTAGTCCAACAGACACAATCACGTGAAAGTTAAAGTAGAAGAGAAATATATAGAGCAATCCAAAAAACAACGCCCCGCGGGCTATGCAAATTGGCTGGTCGAAGCCGAATAAGTCATTTAAAATTGCTGCTATGTACAATATCCGAGACAGCATCTTCTCAAAGTCTATGGTACAGCATATGCCGATCTTGCATTCCATGATGAAAAGGTTTTTCTAGAGTTAAAACAATAGCTTCTTTTGCTTTCGTCAGTGCTCCAAAACAATACCGGCGAATGGTTTTACACTAATATCCTTCGCTTTGGAGGAAAGTTTCTCAACCATTGCAAGAGCAAATCAGATGTTTGGTTAAAGAAGGAAAACATACAGGTTAAACGGAAGCAAAATTCAACATAATTCCAAATCTTGGTTTTTTTTTTCCTTCTTTCTCCCTACCTAAAAGGTCTACTTGCAATTAAAAAAGGCGTAAACGCAAAAAGCTATAGAACATTCTTTTATCCTTATTGTCAAATGAGTTCCGACAAATAACAATGGGATGGAAAACGCAGTTCCAGAAAGAAAAGCGCAGGAAAAATCATTCACGAAGAATAAAAACTAAACATACGTAAATAATGGATTTCTTTGGTGGCACATGCTTCGGCGATAAAGTTATTATCTAATACCGACTGTGACGCAGAGAGCTAAATTCGTAACGTTAAGACTGCCAGATAAGCTAACCTGCAAGTCGTTCGACAAGTTCAAAAGGCCGCTGCTGATTAAAACACCGTGAATAAACCACTCGCGTTTCCTAGCGGATGGCATTGCTTCACCATGAATGGCCTAGTTTAAAACGGCTCTTTTTCTAGGTCAAAAAACGAGGTGCGTCAAGTTCATTTCGCACGGATCTTCGCAGGCAGAGAGTTTCCAAAAATTCAACAGTTTTTCAGAAAAATGAGAAATTGCAATATCTATATAGTTTTATTAATAACATATTACAAACCAAAAATTAATAATTTCAACAAAAATTACTTATCGTTTAATGTTAACCAACAGCGTTTTTGACTTCCCAGACTGAGAATGGGAACAATGCATAAAATAATCATTCATATGAATTTTGAACTTTTTCTCTTTAATTCACACTTTGAAAAAGTATTGTTTTGCAAATTTCATCTCCTTCAGAGTAGAGACTGTTGCCATCACTCGCAAGAAACATTCGTCATAAGTCTCGTAGGTGATTAACAATAAGCACAGATATTACTTGAATAATTAAATCTTTTCTTTTTTAAATAAATGCAAACGCTACTACATAGCCTTAATTTATAATGGAATACAATCATACCTTTTTATCTCCTACCGTTGGGCATTCCTCTTATAAAGAACTAATTTTAAATTATGATTTTATGACCTGTATCCTGAACTTATAGATTAATCCCTTAACTAAACCTATCCTTAACTGTTTATTCTGAAGCAAATTGCAAATGTTAAATTGGAATCTCAATGCAAAGATCACATGTGAGTTTTTTATTAAGATTTTTAAAATTTTACTTTATAATATTTTATTAATTTTTTTTGAATTTTTAACGGTAAATTCCTCTTAGTCTTAGATTGCAAACTTAAGCTTTCAGATAATTGGAACGTTTGCCTATATCAATAATCGGTTAACTGGAACGAGCTATAAAGTTTACAAATTCGGAAGGCTGCTTCAATATTTGTCCAATAAAGTAATATATGGTATATATAATAAATTGTTCTATATCTGTCAATATAGGTATACGAATTATTATTGCACTAGGCATTGGCAAACTTTGTTAAGTCACTTTGCTAATACAAACATTTGTCTCATGAGCAAACCTAAGCATCGATACTAAGACAGAAGAAATCGATACCGATGTCCCTGAAATTATGATGTTTTCTTAAAAGTCCGAATGGGTTTTGAGTCGTCTATCATCCAATTCTTCATTAGAAGTCCGAAGTGCTGAAAATCGCCAGGATATATCCGGGTTGTAAAAACAATAATCCGATATCTTCCATCTGAAGCACCAGCGTTGTTTGCTACGGTGTCTCAAAAGGCAACGCAACACGATGCTTTTTGAGAGAAATCCTAACAGTTTTCTGTGAACAACAATTTTAGTGCGTCAAAACAACTAGATGCATTCACTATCAGACAAAAGATTCCTCATTGCGATTACTGCAGAGAAAGCGTGATGTAACATGGTGCAATATGGAGCCTTGAAGAGAAGACGTTGGCAATTAAAATTAAGAATTTAAAGGACCGTTCCTATTAAGTTTAATCTGGTAATAAATTTTTCTTCATATTTTGATCTCTCACATATAGTATAGAAATACTCAATCAAATTCACAATAATATAATTTATTAGTTATTAATACATCATTTATTCCATTAAAGTTGTCTAAAGACATTTATTTTTGCCTCCGCTTCAACAACTGGTGAAAACGAGACACAGCAATAGCGTTAAAAAAATTTGTAGCGCACATAGCTACTGCCTTATTAAGGTGATGCTTTTCATTGTATGATGCAACTGTTCCGTATGTGGGAGCATATCCCTTATTTCACTGGAAGACTGTTGTTGCTTTGCCAAGGCTGTTACCTTCTCATTCCTTAACGAAATCTAAACACAACTTCTTGCTGTGACACAGCATGCAGCCCCATAAGCTCTTCGGCGGTCAGTTCCATGCTCTTACACTAGCTCATCGATGTTGTTGCTATCCACATTTAGCGACATAACCTTGGCAAAAGACACAATCTTGTCGATTACACGCTCTACGGGCATTTGTTTAAAACCCTCGGAGTTTCGACAACGCTGTCCAGCCAAAGCTTCTTACATGCAGAAATAGAGATTATCTTGGTGACCTCCCACCATGGCTTGTTTATTATGTTGAGGCAATTAGAAGCAGAGTCAGAGCGCCTGCCCCGGAAGAGCTCAAAGGCCTCCCATACAAAGTTTGCTAAAACTGAGATTCCAGAGACCGTCCAGGGGATAAAACCCTCAACAGAAAAAAATTATCGATGGAGAACGACGGGCGACCTTACAAAAAGATCTACAGGGGCGAAACTCAAACATCGGCTACTAAAAACTACGATTGAATTCCTGCGAGCGGGTCACCACTCTCTCTCCCAGTACTAAGTCAGACATCGCCGTCCCTCTGCACCGACCGAGGCGAGCCCCCCCCCGGTCGGTCTTTCGATATCTGACCATGTAGCGTCCCCCCCACCAAGGACACGGACAAGACAGTATCAGTACGGTCCCTGCCAAGCCTGAACCTTCCATCGAAAAAACGATGGTTTTAATATATGTGAAGACTGGTTATTTGCTCTGCAGGCCGAAGCTGTCTAGACACAAGGCTAGCCAGTTGTCTGGAAGAACCCCAGGTCTCCTCCCATATTAATGGTCGGCTCCGGAAATTCCCCCCAGTCGGACCACAGAGTTGGTTGTCTAGCATCGTTAGCCTATGCTAATCGAAGCTGACATAGTTACCAGCGATCAACATAGTTACCAGTTATCATGTTGAGGCAGGCAACGATGTGAAAACAGTCTTTGAGAATAAGACTGGTTCCTTCAGTTACCTTAAAACTATGCTTGAACAGCGCTTTAGTGTAGAGCATTTTAAAATTTGTTATTACTTACTGATCTATGAGCTGCAGTAAAGGAGTAGAGATGGGAGGCAGGAACTTGATGAATTTAAATTCTTCAAGGAGTTCATCTCTTAGGCCTGAAGGATGTGCAGGAGTGTTCTCTATATAGCTTTTAATTCGCAGAAAAATCTGTGTGAACTGTCCTTAGAAATTCAAACATTAAGACTGAAATTATAGCAATTTAGCAAACGGAATTCAAAGCGGAAATGAGAGGTATCGATAATTTATTCATGTAATTTTATAAAGAAAGCTACAACAGTATAATCATATCATTATTTCAAAAACACTTATCTGGTAATAATCTAGGTATATGTTTAAAGAATAATTTTCTCACCCAAATTTGTTATATAAGCAAACAATTTCACAGTTGAACAAAATAAAACTCGAAAATTTAGATGTACAATATAGCCTTTACCAATTTCTAAACAAGCTTGAGAAATGCACACTACGATATTATCTTAAATCTATCGTATTAAAAAAACTTTCCTTACAACTAAATAAGTTCAACAAAACGCCACGTTAAACTGAATCCAAAGTAAAATATTTAAAAGGGATGCCTTTCCAAAATTATGAGCAGCAATTCCGGGCATTTCCATAATAAATTATCGAACACGCAAAACTGGTTTTTGACATCAAGTTCAACGTAACTTAAAATACTTCGTTCATGTACGGTGTGCAAAGCAGAAAAGATTATTCGGACTGAATTCAATCCGCTGTGCACCGCTGTAACACTCAAACAAGCCATTTGTCCATCGTCATTAAAAAGCTCTCGTCCACTACGAGTTCTTTCCCGATTGGAGCTGCTGACAGCTAGATGGAGCTGGTAGCATGCGTTGGTAGCATATGTTAATCAACCAATCTTAGGAAACGCTCCAACAAATTAATTTGCATAATTCGTAAACTAATTAAAAATAACTAATTAAAAACCCAACGAAACACATTTAGCCAGTAATAAAAACACTTCTTAGGAGGGGGCATTTCTTATTTTAAAACAATTACTTTATAACTGAGCCCCATAGCAAAAGTACCGGCACTTTTATGAAAATCAGCTATTGTTTGAAAGAACAGAAACCTTCAGGGGCGGCATATTTAAGCCGAGGCACTACTATGCTTGCAGAATTTGCATTTGCTTTGCCAATTACAACAACAAATTAAAAACCCTACTTCCATAGTGGTGCCCCGGTATAAAAATGACCTCAACTTCTTGAAAGCTGTTTTTTACAAATTAAAAGCTGATCTTTCGCGGAGCGGCACTTTTACGAAAGTATAGCTTTTCGAACAGTGGCTGATTTGCAAAAAGTTTCCGGCATCTTTATATGACAAAGCGCCGTTATGAAGCATTCTACAATCATACATCATAACCTTACATTCAAAAGGGAATAAAACTTAGAATCTATCAAAAATTTACAAACATGTTTCTCGATATCGGCACTTATGCTTCAGAATTAGATACGTAAAGAGTTAAACAGTATTTAATTTGAAATACAAGAACACGAGATACGCATGGCTTCAGTACCACTTAAGGAAAATGTGCCGCAATTGCTATTCAGATTCAAGAACATTGTTTTTAATTTTGCATCCAAGAAACAAAGATCTAAACGAAACAAGTACATTTGAGATATACAAGATAAGAATTTTCTCCACGCATTAAAAGTAACTATGCTTGAATTTTAATGCTATGTTAATTCATAGTCGCTCTACTGAAGGTAAACCACTGTGTCCTTGAAATCTCTGCAATGAAAGGTTCGTTAGTTACGGTTATTTAATATCGCGAACCACTCGATGGCTTCCTACGTTAAGAGTCCCTCTTTGAAGAGTTTTCCCCACAGATTAGAACACAGAAATTGATTAATCCAGTAGATCAAGAACTTCTAACGCTCGAAGCCTGCAAAACAAATCCTTACATATTTATTTAGCAAAATATTACAGAGCACATGAAATATGCCGGCCAGAATATAAAATAACGTTTTCATCTTTCAAATACCCTTTCGAAAAACGTATTCGCCTTATTCGTGAGCCTTAGCATTCAGAAAATTACTCATTCTTTAACTAACATGTTTTCCTGGGTTTTAGACTATCGCATTCTCAAGTTAATTTTAGTTTTTAA